CCGCACCCGATAACACGATACGGAAAAGAAACCACTTTCGAGAAAACGATAACATCCTGCCGGATCTTGCGTGAAAATTGTTCACAAAGTAATCGAGGGAATCCGGTAAATCGAGTCTGCTTGATGAAAGTCTGATGAAGTTCTAATCGTTAATTTTTAATCATAATATCGATACTATATAATGTTTATTTCGCGAAGTCAACCGTTTCATTATTGTATATAGTATTGTTATCCATTGCCAAGTATTGTTAATGTATTGCTAGCAATGCTTGTATATATGTTTATGTGTTGTCAATATATAGCAATACATTAGTAATACTTGGCAATTTTAGGTGGCAATACATAAGGTGGGTGATTCCTCGATTTATTTTTTCATTTATTCCAATTGTATCCATATTGTTCACTCATTGATATAATCGAAGTGACAAAAATACACGGAAAAAATGATTTTGTTGAAATATTAAAAAATTTAGATATACAAATCTGAAAATAATTTTATTAGACTATTAAAATAATTATGTTGGACGTTGAAGTTGAATGCTAGAATATCAAAACTTTTTACGGCATTACTTAGTATGTTTGAGTATTTTTGCATAATTTTGATGGTTCAACAAAATTATTTTCAGATTTGTATCCACCTGAATTTTTAGATATTTCATCAAACTCATTCTTTCCGTGTAAATTTTAGATATCCTTTATATGAGTTAAACTGATGAAAAAATCTCGCAACATTTTTTTTTTCGCAGAAAAATTGCATGTAATTCACACTTGTGTAAGCTGGAAGTGATTCGACAAAAGGAAGTAGTGACTCCTTTCACCGTTAATTACATTTCCTCAATACATGGATGCAACAAGGAGCGTCCTGATCAGTATGTTCCAAACAATACAGTTCATCCTTCGTGAACAAGAGCGGATACTAACAAAGTAAACCACGAATCTCGGATTTGTTCCAGTCGCTGTTCCGTTCGCACGACGACAAGTAGAGGAAATAGACGCTTCCTGTACGGAAATTCACGACCTTCGGCGGAAGCCCGAGGGAGACCGCAAATGACGTTAGAGGAACAGCTGAGAGAATAATTATGATGTATCAACATTGCGATTCTACGAACACTACTAGTGACACTCGGCAATGTACAGAATAAATATTCTACAACCTTCGATACTGATTTAAAAATAATCTCTCAATAAAAGAAAATTTTTATTTAAAATTTTTCAATTCTGATTCTTATTGATTATCTATTTCTGAGCTTTAAATATAGATAATAACGTCAAAGAAATTCTTTGGAGACACGATCTGGATTCTTTTCTGTCCGTGAAAATAATAACGTGTGTACCAAGTGTCATAAATTCTACAGAACGAATTCTCTCTGGCACTTATCCGAAGTATCAAAGCCGGAAATCTCAAGGCGTCACGGAGATGGAGTAAAAGAATTTATCTCGAAATACACTCGGTAGATGGTACATGAGATGCGCCCTGAAGTATGAAAAAAAAAGAAATGGACGCGCGTCAAGTCGGCGCGTCCGGCACGTGGACTATTTCTGGACATTCCTCGAAGAATCCGTTGTAAAAATTCGGTTCCTGGTTGCTCTTTATAGTTTAAACATGCCTTCCGATGCATCGAATGTCTTATAATAAAAGTAGAACCATCGAGAAAATGATAGTCACTCAACTATAATCTTTTCTTTACGTACCAACGTGTCGGAGTAAAAGTTTGTAGATCAATCTTCGGGTTTCATTAAACTTTTATCGCGAATTACAAATATTCATTCAGTATCAGGATTCAAAGGATAGATATATATATATATATATATATATATATATATACGAAAAAAATGATTTTACAAAAGTATTTAAAAATTTAGCTAGATACATATCTGAAAATATATCAAAATAATTAAAAAGTTTAAACGTTTGATGAAAAATACTGTAAACAGTTTTAACATTCTAGCAATCCACATAATTTTGATGCCCCAAACAAAATTACAATATTTTCAGATGCACATTCTATAAAGCTAAAATTTTTTAATATTCCAGCTAAATTTTTTAATATTTCAAAATCGTTCTTTCCATGCAGTATTTATAAAATTATTTGTATTCTACGCGCGATTATTTTCGCAGAGTTTACAGTCACGAAACAACACTGCTTCGTTTATCACAACATTTCAAAGAAAGAAATATTTTTCTTAAAAAATATAATAATTGTAAATTTTACGTTAAAGTATTCTTTCTATAAATTCATTGATAAAATAAAAAAATTGTCGCAATATGTCGCGCTTATCTCACTTTTCTTCGTCAAAAAAAACCGAATTTCCGATTGTAATTTGCGATAGTATTCGTTTCAGCTATAAATATTAATTATTTTAATGGGCAAACGTGCGATTGATTATATGAATTCTAATTGCGGTAGTAAAAATGGTGTAATTAAATATAATACGCAGTATTGATACGCACGGCATCTATCTTCTGTTTTCCCGACGTGATATATCGACGCAACGCTCAGTTCGACATCGCGTATAAACCAGTTACATTACGCAATCCTCGTTAACAATATACTCCAGCTCGTCAAGGTGTAATGAGTCACAATAATATGAGATTGACGGAAGAAAAAAAGACACGCCCCGATCCTGCCAGGATTCGAACCTGGAATCTTCTGATCCGTAGTCAGACGCGTTATCCGTTGCGCCACAGGACCAACCGATTACGAAATAGTTTCAGAAGGTATATACAGGAAAAATCATCAAACGTAAGTGATTAATATTTTTCATTACATTGATATAGAAAAAATATAACGTAGCAAGGGAATTTTATATTCTGATAAGAAGATTCTTTATATATATTTTTTAATTGTATTTATCCTTTATACATTATTTATTGTATAATTACAAAATAATCAGAAATATCCATCTATCGAATTTCATAAATTTCCAAATTCGAATCAAAACTGTCATTGAAAAATATTTTATTTATTCTCGGAGCAATCTATATCAATCATCCATATACGAAAATAGAGTAAAATTAAAGTATTATTGGATGTTCTAATTTCCGAGAATTATATGGCTTTCTTGGACATTTTTATAGATTTTTTTACTTACGGTTATTTGACGTTTTGCGATTCCAGTTAAACATTTCATAACTCATAATCTCTATAAATAAATTGTACACTATTCTCAGTAGGCTATACTTGTAAATTCTTAAAAAAAGCAAACCTATCAAATAAATAAAAATAAAGAAATTATAAAAATAAAGGATAATCCGTTCTAATTTAAAAAAACAAACTTTTTTAAGATTCCTAATGACTCTATCGTTTGCCTAAACTCCAAGACTAATATATCCATTGCCATGAGGATAAATCACCGATCATCAAACATTAAAACAAAAGAATTTATCTTTATCTTTTTTCATGACATTCAAAACATTTGATATTGTCTATCGTACGATCTTCCATTGGACTTTAAAAAAGATCTGATAAAATTAAAATTAGTTATAATTTCTAATTATAACAAACAGCTGTACGTTGATAATTTCGTTACGTTCGTGCAATGTCTGGTGGTTCTGCAAATACCCGTCACAACCATAAATCATATACGTCCTTCCTTTCGCGACAAGCGAATATTTATTATTTCACGGACGGTGTTGAACTGCAGTCACGCATCTTTGGACAAACTGCTCATTTTCATGATGTGCTGCGTCACAAAATGTCGTTCAATATCGATAATAGTATAGCCAATGAAATGTTTCACGTGAAAATTTTATATGTTCTCCGTATCTTGAAAGCTTCGCGAAAAAATTCTTTTGCGTTCAATTAAGCGTGCATATATCCATTTCTTATATTAGAATATAAAAATATCACTTCTAGTTCTAAGAAAAGTTCTAAGAAAAAAAATTTAAAAAAAGATACGGATTAAATTAAACCGAGATTAAAGTTAACTTGCATTTATGAAATTTAATAGACAGGAATTCCCCAGATTCGCATCAAAATTATACATTATTGGAAAATAATATTTATTCTGGAGCAATCTGTATCAATCAATCGTGAAATGAAAACATTAGAGATCTATCCGAAAACAATCAGATTTTCGGATAATTATTTGTGAAGCATCTTGTTAGCCTTGATTTTATCGACTAGATGACACAATTAATTCGCAGGAAAACAAACTGTCGACTAAGTACATCGATTATTCTCCTGTTCAATTTTATGAATGTCTCACACGAGGAGACGATGAGACGAAGGCTCGCTCCTACAATATTCAAGATATGAAAAGATAACGCGTCTTGACGCATTTCCGGGATAAGTGTGTAGAACGAGTTGTACGCGGTATTGTTTCGCGATTCATCCTCGAGTATCGACAGGCTCGAGCGTGTTCCATACAAGTTTCCTGAAGTTCTCGATAGCTGCGTTCGACGCGTGTCACATTTTTTTAACGAACGTCGTGCACGTCGGCAAATCAATACACGACGATGCGATTTCCAGTGAAATCCCGGCACAATGGAGAGCGAAGAGCTGAGCGAAGCTCAATTTCAATATTTATAGGATATTTTACCGTCTCGATTATTTTCCTCGTTATTTTCTCGTTAAAGTTGCAAATTGGAACGAAAAGTGAGGGTAATAGATTGACACATCCGATATACTTATAACGAACAAAACTTCTAACAAACTTTACGACAGAAACTGAATTGCGTTTATAATTATTTCCATATTTCCGCGATATTTCCAGCCGCGTATCGAGTTGCGGTACGTATATACATTATCAAAGAAACATGTTCGGATTTATCGAATTCAAAAATCACGTTATTCTCTTTAGTGCCCATATCTATCAACGTGGATGAACTTTAATCTTCGTTTGATTTATCTTTTATCTTTTCCAATTCTACGATTTAGAAAAAGATATAAGGAGTAAGTTAAACCGAGATTAAAGTTAACTTATCTTGATAAAAATGAACATAAAATACATAAACTTCAAAAATATAACTCGTTTCAAGAATCACTCGCGTAACTCACAGCGAAACTCTGAAATAGAAAAAGTCGGCTCGCTTTCCTCTTTTTTCTTAAGTAACTCGCTTCGGGAGGAAAAGTCTACACACGCCCGGGGAAAACTACTGATTTCATAATCTCCGACACACAATCGCGCTTTACGTAAGGTATCCACGAGCGAAGTAGCGCGGAAACCTCGCGCGAGTCGATAGGCGCGCGGCGACTCCAGTATTTACGTCGGTGTGTCACGTTGACAGCGAGCACGACTTGGCTCCGGCTCGTGCACGCCAAGTGCACGACAGCGTAACGCGATACGCCCGGCGAACCCTCGTGATGCGGTGAAGGAAAAAAAAAACACGCGAACGATCGTTGGACACTTACAATTAGCTGCGGGAGATCTCGTGCGTCGCTGTCACCCTGTCGTTATTCACCCCCGGGGACAGGAGGGTGCTCGACGTTCGGTCGCGCTGAACGGAGACGTTCGGCGTCTGTTGAGAGAAGGAGAGAGAGGAAAAAAAAAAAGTACGACGAGCCTACAAACTCGCCGATCGTCGCTTCCGCGGTCGTCGCAATTGTTGATGCGATCACGTGGATCACATTATCGTGTAGAGAAACCGCTTAGAGAAATGCAAGAGCGGCCGAAACGCGCTACCATCCGTCGCGTACCATCATCACACTCGCCATTTTGATTTACACTGACGGTTGTTCCATCGCGGGCGGCAAGGTGTCCTGCGCGACGCGCAGCCTGCGACGCGCATGCGCGCGACAGGTGGCTGCCTGGGTATCATACCCTTTCACCCCCACTAATTCGCCGTTGATCCAGGTGACGAGCGGTAAATGCAAATTTATGATCTACTTTATCGACTCGCAAAACTTCGTGCAAGGGTTCGTAGTTTCGAATCTATCGCATACATTACGATTATATTGGGTCATCTAAAAAGTATCCGCGGTTTTTTGTCACTAGATGGTGTTGACCATCAACACCATCTAGTGACAAAAGCCCGCGGATACTTTTTAGATGACCCAATAATACGAGATTACATTTACTTTGAATTTTTGTCATTACGTTTGTCAATTACGTTAAATTTATATATGAATCTTTTTCATGTAGACAATGCACGCAATTAATTATAAGTAATATAAATTGGATAATACAATACAGAAAGAAGTAATTCAGTTTTATGATTGTTAATATATCTTATTTCTCAATATTAATAAATAAAAATATATGAGCGAAATAGAAGCTTTAGTGCAATCTTGTGCTCTCTCTCTCTCTCTCTCTCTCTCTCTCTCTCTCTCTCTCTACGACAAAGAACGTATTAGGCTTCAAGTATCTATAGATTATTTATAGAGGAATATAGTACGTTTATATTACGTAGATATATATAGATTAGTATATTTTACGTAAACGTACCCTCCGAAAATTTATAACATATACGTAATGTATATTATAGTATTTTCATATGCAATATTTTTTGGAAATAGGACTCTTGTACCTCAATCTTTGATGCCCACGCACTCTCAAGGAGATGCAACGTATTTATTAATTATTACTGCGCAAGATAATTATTAATTTTGGTTTGAAATCAAAATATGAAGAAATGATATTTATATATTATAAAAAAATTTAACTTACAAATGACTTATAAACTTAATATTTAAAGTGCGAGAAATTTATTTTATCAATCAGCTGATTTCTCATTTTCAGCTGAAGCTAATATATCACCTATTGTCGGTAATATATCGATTCTACTTATTTAATTTTTCTAATTAATCAAGAGTAGATAAAAGGAGAATTGTATCTAATTTATTTTAAAAAATTCGAATTTTTCAACATAAAAATAACAAGCGGATTGGGAAATATATATAGAAATTTAAATATTTTTTAAATAGAAGTAAATATTAAAAAAAAACTTAGTTAAAAATATTAATAACCGCAGTATTTTTGATATTAATCAATCCTAGTAATTCATCGTCACATTTAAGATTACAAAAATATTTGTAAATTAAAGTATTACTATGCTGTAAAATTATCATGCTATATTTTGCTTATATAAAAATAATATATTGATTTGTATATATTGATAAATTAAAAAAAAATTGGCCCATGAGGGGATCGAACCCGCGACCTTCGCGTTATTAGCAAGACGCTCTAACCAACTGAGCTAATGGGCCTCTTGTACATTACTTCTTTTTGACAATATTTTCCACTTCATTTACAATTTATTTACGAAAATAATAACATTTGTTCTGCATGAACATTTCATTTAAAAAAATATAGCATGGACTACGAGGGAACTACGATTTTTGCCATATAAATAGTGTGACGCTTTGCATTCACATTCTTATATCTCTCTTTATGATATTTTCAGCATAAATTACTCACGAAAAATATTTGTTTTGTTTGAATTATTTCGCTAAAAAAGATATTGTTAATATAATATATACTATTTAATGTAATAATATAACAGTATTTAATGTAATTATTTTATAAATAATTGATTATTTGAATAAAGCAAATTTAAGAATTAATCATTTTAACATGATACTATAATGATTTTCTTACTAAATTATCCATTTACTGTTTCAAATTAAATTAATATAATGTAATAATCTTTAAACTAAAATTCACATAATGACTATAATTTTTATTACTAAATCTATAAATATTGTAAAACTAATTATGCCGTAAAATTGTCATTCGAAAATAGAAACATGTTTTATGTATTAACGTTAGCTTTATTATTTTTGTGTGATTATGCATTTAATATTGCTTATAATTACTTTTATATTTTCTAATCTATATTACATATGTGTAAGTCGATGTTCATTTAATCTTAACATTAAGATATACTACCGTATCTCCAGATATATTATGTAACAATCTATTTAATATGCATCTTATGTATTATTTACATATAATAGATAAATAAATAAAAAAATAGCAATTCAATTTTTTCTGAATAAAAATGTATATTTAAATAATTTTATATCTAATTTTAAATTTATCGAATGTCCATGATATAACTTATATAATATCTGTTTACATAACTCGAAGATATGTGTTAAGACGTAATTTATGAAACAAATCTTTAAACATCACTATCTGATATTCTTTTTTTCCTCTGGCGTTAATGATCCTTCACCTTCTGAACACGATCAATCTTCTGCCGTCCTCATCCGAGAACTTGCCTTCGTTATTTGCAAGAGTTCGTGAACCCTATATCGATTTCACTATTCATAGAAACGACAGGGAACGGTCAATGGACTGCCGTTTCGATTGATACATATGTTACATAGACCGTGAGTTAACAACTGTTCTATAACTGACTTCCTTCTTTTACAACTTTTATATAAAGTGTAAATTGATCGAACGCGTCAACGAACACATGTTGCAAGGGCACCGCACTGTCAAATCAGTAATCCACAATATAACAAAAAATACGTCATATAGTCCAATGCGTTTCTTCAGTTCGAATGTAGGTACAATTCAACCTTTCTCTCAAATTTAATTCATCAATGTAATTTAAATTCTAATTTTCTTCTACTCGATGTGAAATTTGTCTTAAAAAATTATGAATTGAAGTAGCGAATCATTATTCAACTGAATACTACTTCTATTGCTTTTTATAAATATACAATTCAGCGCATTTTGAAGAGATCTTGTTCGGCGAATTTACTCAAATATTTCTCATTACTACAAGTTCTAGATTGTTCATCAGATTCATTTTCGGATTAGCTAAAATCTATTTCGAGCAGCTCAATTTATGATCAACAAAAAATCAACACGATGTGTCTATAAACATTGTACAGCTTTCAATTGTTATTCGTATCAAGCTCATCAAAATCTAATCAACAGATTACAGTTATGATTTTTTTTTCTCTCAAATTCGATTCCGGATCCTTCAAACTTCCGAGCTAATGACCAGGCACTATCTAGTTCTTGATTAACACGGTTTATGGATACTTTTTTTCTATTAAAATAAATCGCTTCAAGGCTTTATACATTTTTTGTGACAGTAACAAACAAAACTCTTGACTCTGTATATCATTATAAAAGTTACTAATAACACAAACATAAAGTCAATAAAAATGATTAATGTTCAAGGCTATCTACTTTTATTATTATATAATACTGATGCTGTTTTTCATATAACATATATATAACATGTGATATTTCTCAATAAGCATTTATAAAAAACATTAAAAAGAGAAGTTTAATTGTAGTGCAACTTCGTACAAATGTTTCACGGCGCGTGTAGAATGCGACTGTTCCCTGAAGACAAGACCATACATTTGTAAAATTTGTGTTCCGGAACTCGTGATTTTTAAGCTCTCTAATTTAGCTCTTCTTTCCCTTTTCAATGAATACAACTCTTTTTACACGTCTTTGACTAATTTTACAAATATATCGATAAGATATATATTATTAATAGTATTTTATTAATGACAAATATGTTAAATTAATGTCTTTAATTATATCTTATTAAGAAAATCAAGAATGTATATTATTAATGACAATAATCGTTATCTGTTTCTTTATAAAATCGCACTGCAGATGCGATGAAATTACGTAATCCCTACATTTTCGTAAAGCTGTAGTATCCTTGGTATTTTGGCGTCCTAGGACTCTAGGAGCTTTAAAAGATCGCAAGTAAACGTCCGGACGTTATTTGGAGAAGAAGAAATGAACACTTTTTTTCAAAAAACTTGTTATAGATATAAAAAATATTATGTATGTAATATTAATATTAAGTGACGCACGTTGCATATCGTGATATTTATTCTGCAGACAGATAAAGATACGTCGACAGAAAAATCGCTTGACATTCTATTCGAAGGTTTACTTGTATGAGAGACCTGATGTATACTTTTCGATCGATAAATGTTATAACCGAAGGGAATCAATAAATTGGAGCACTGCCCCGAGCTTGGTTGTGCAATATAATTCTTTTTTTTCCTATAGGAGAATAAATATAGCATCAAAATGTTTAATCGGATTACAATACATAAATACGATACATGAATTACGATCTTATAATATATATATATATGCATGCATTATTACAATTTATCAATTTGTAAACTGTTTCGAAAGAAATAATAAATATATGTATATCAATTAACTTGTAATAATCGGCAAATAAAAATTAGAGCATATTGAAACTTTAAAACGTTTTAAGGACAGTAGTAGTCTATTCTTATAAGATCTCCTTGAGTAATGTCTTAAGATACCAATACTCTCTAATTAATTCATGATTTCTTAAGATAGTACTTCAAATAATCTTAAATATAAGATTCGACTGTGAAATAAATCCAATCTAAAGCATACACATTGTATATAAGGTCGGAATCGGACTACGCATTAAAGATTGAGATTGAAAATTGAAATTTGACCAATCAAAACAATAAGAGCTAAAATTCCTCATCAAATTTCAATCTTCAATCTTCAATCTCAATTTTCAAAGCGTAATCTGATTCCGGCTTTATAGAAATCAATCCGAAAATTATGATTTTGATTGTACAACGTAAATATATGTATGCAACGCTATTATTTGTCCAATGAAGGAGAATTCTATTATTTTTTACAAGACGAGTATAACTTATCATAGTTGACCTATAGCCTTATTACATTGATTAGAGTCAGTAGATAAACAGAGAGTTTATCCACAAAATAAACTCTA